TGTGTGTGGCCAGCTCAGCCCACCAGGGGGCGGGGCTGGCTGGCATGTGGTGCTGGGGGATTGAACCGCAGTCCCTGATGCTTTGCCAAGCTAGTTCCAAGTAGGTGCTTTAGACCACTGAGCCATCTCTCCAGCCCCTCGTTGCTATTTTTTTCAATAAATTTTTTTTTTTTTAAAAAGGAAGGAAGAAAGAAAAAAAAAAAAAAACATTTGCTTTCCAGTCACTTTTGTTTGAGGCAGGGTATTGCTACGTAGCCCAGGCTGACCTCAAACTCAGTGATTCTCCCACCTCAGCCTCCCAAGCGCTGGGAGTATGTGTCACTGGGATTTCTGCTTTCGCCCCTAGGCTAGGCTCTCCTCCCTAAAACTGCGCTAGAATCCAACTCTCCCCCAGACAAAGCCCAACAAAGAAGCTGTCAGCCAACTTACCACTTTAAGAGCTGAGACTGCTGCGAAATACGGGGCCCCCGTGTACCTGAAAGGAACCCTAGAGTCACAACTTCCACTCCAGCCAAAGACAAGTGGCCAGTAAAGGCCAGGAACACCCTTCTTGGATGCCATTAGCAGCCAGGATGTGGGAGATGGCTGGCAACTGTGGCACTTGAGGCAGTGCTGGGTGCGGAACATGAAGGTGGCACCAGGGCCCTGTGTGACAAGGTGCATCTAGCACAGGAGTCCCCAGGGAAGAGGAAGCGAGGAGGTGGTGACACCAGCTCTCTTTCAGTGGCAGGCAGGAAGGGCCCTGCAGCACTGGCAGGGCTGCAGATGTAGGCCCGAGGAGCTGCCCAGGACTTACCAAGCCACTGCCCACCCCCTAGTTTCCCCTTGCTGGTAGCACCTCAGGAAGTGGAGCTCTGCGGACACAGCATGCACCCCGCAGAGGGCCTGGGTATCAGGCTCTCCACACCCTTCCTCACTTTCAGCATCCTGCCCTGGGCATCACCCAGTACCTGGAACTGGGTGTGGTAGACACTGCTTTGGTTCCAGACTACAGGTGGCTGAGACAGGAGGATCCCAAGCTCAGGTGCAGCCTGGGCAAGTTAGTGACTCAGCGTAACCTTGTCTCAACACACAGCTGGGATGTAGTTCTGCGTAAAGGCCCTGGGTTCAACCCCCAGTATCACAAAACAGCCACTGTCACACTGTGTTAGGGAACAACATCTGGTTTGTATTTATGATCAATGTGCCCAGTCACATGGAAAGTGGCTCAAACTGCAGAGCAGGCAAAGCCATGTCACCTGATGGCACAGTGAACAGAAGAAACAGCAGCCAGGCCGGAGAAGCAGCCAAACGCAGGCGGCACGGCACACTGAGGACTCAGCCCAATCGCCAGGCCTAGCCACAGCCCAGGAGCACTCACGGCCTGGAGAGTGCAGGCTGTCCAGCGGTCCCAGGCTTGAGTGAGCTGAGAGCTTTCACCCAACCGAGAGGACGGGACTGGACTGGCAGGAGCCAACTACAACAGGTAAGCAGGGAACGGAAACAGGGAGCACACAGGGGAAGGACTGCGGGGCTCACACTGATGGACAGACGGATGCCAGCCAGTAAACAAGCCAGCCAGCCAGCTGGCAGCACTCACTCCCGACAGCCTCCAACAACGCCGATGCGGCCGGCCTGGCCCTTGTGCTTCCCAGACGTCAGGGGCGGCACGATGTTCCTCACCAGCTGGAAGGTGTCATCCATCTCCTTCACTGAATGTGCTCTGTGCAGCAAGAATGTCCTCTGTGCAACTGGAAAACAAGGTGGGAGCTGCTCAGAGGTGGGCGGCCAGCTGCTGGTGGCCAGGCGTCAAGGACGGCTTCCTGGCTTCTGTAGGGTCCATCAGAGCCCCACGACTCCCCTGGGCGAAGGGCGTCTGCAAATCACACGGGGACACTAAGTGCTGAGGAGACCGGCCTCTGCTTGAAATGTGGCAGGCACTTCAGGACACCCTAGCCCTGGAAGTTTCATCCACTAAGTGGTGCGTCAATGCCGGCGGTACTGCCCAGGCCCCTTCTCCTCCTTGTCCCCAACAAGGGCACCAAGTGTGTCCCACTCCAGCCAGAGGCCTGGCTGGTGCCCTCCACTCTCCCAAGTGCATTTCTGGCGTAACCTAGGGTGGCATTCGAAATGAAGCACGTATTTAAATGGGGCTCAAAGTGGCATTTTACAATAACTGCATCCTTTTGAGCTGTCTCCAGATGGCTACGTTTAAATTAATCTTAGGGTTGGGGAGATAGCTCAGTAGAATAAGCACTTCCCTGCAAGCTCAAGGGCCTGAGCTCAATCCCTGGTTCCACCAAAAAAAACCCAAAAAACAAAAAAAAAACCCTTGCTTGAAAAGCTTGGTGGGGGGGCCGGGGAGATGGCTCAGTAGGATAAGCACTTGACTGGCAAACGCAAGGATTCAATCCCCGGTTCCGCCAAAAAAAAAAAGGTTTGGTGGAGTGGGAGAGATGGCTCAGTAGAATAAGCGCTTCCCTTGGAGGCCTGCCCCTAAACTCAGTTCTTTAAAAATGGCTGTTTCAACAAAGCAGTCAGGCTCAGGTTACTGTGGTTCAATCCCTACAACTCAAGCCAGCCAAACCTGCCCTGAAGGCATTCGAAAAAAAAAAAAAAAAAAAATTCCTGGCAAGCGCAAGGGCCTGAGTTCAATCCCCAGTTCTGCCAAAAAAAAAAAGAAAGAAAGAAAAAAAGAAAGAAAGAAAGAAAGAAAGAAAAAAGCTTGGTGCAGTTACATGTTTTGCCTTTTTTTTTTTCTTTTTTTGGTGTGTGGCTGGCTCAGCCCACCCTGGGGGGGAGGGCTAGTGCAGCATGTGGTGCCAGGTATCAAACTGAAGTCCCTGTGCACTTGCCAAGCAGGTGTTTTAGACCACTGAGCTATCACACTGGCCTCCTCTGCTTTATTATTTAAAACAGGTCTGGGAATGAAGCTCAGTGGCATAGCACCTGCCTGGAAAAAACAAGGTCCTAAGTTCAACTCCTGCTACCAAAACAAACACAAAAACCCTTAAAACAATTCAAATCGGGCCAGCCAGATAGCTCAGAGGATTAAAGGGCCTGCTTAGGCAGACACAGGGGCTGGCGGGTTGGTGTGCCATGCCGGCCCTGCCCTCAAGGCACGCTGAGACAGTGACTGAGACTAAGCGCAGTGGCATGTGCCTGTAATCCAGTGCTTGGGAAGCTGAAAACAGGACGATCCTAGGAGTCTGATCTATGCAATGAGACACTGTAGACCCTGTACTAAATACATTAAAAAAAAATTAGAAAAAAGTTCAAATCAATGTATGATGATATATTCTGTAGTAAATGAGTAAATAAAAAGCATATATTTTCTCTAGTATTTTTAATACAGTTTTTCATTAATTAATTATTTGGCACACGGTCTCACTATGCAGCTTATACTTGTAGTGACCCTCCTGCCTCAGCCTCCTCAGCGCTGGAATTACAAACATGTGCCAGCACCTCTGGTTTTGCTGGCTGGCATGGTGCTTCTGGGGTTTCAGGGACAGCGTGGCATGCAGAACTGAAGACTGAACCTGGGTCCTTGTGCTTGCGAAGCAGATGCTTTGACTACAAAGCTATCTCCTAGGTCCCCTTCTCTCTAGTATTAAGGGATCTCTGACAATAAACAGTATTTTCTCTAATAAAGTGATTTTTTTTTTTTTTTTTTAAGGCAGGCTGTGTGTCATACAGACTGGTCTTGAACTTGCTTATGTAGCCCAGGCTGATCTCGAACTCACAGCGACCCTCCTGCCTCAGATCATGCTGGGGCTCCAGGGATGCCTCACCACATCTACTGGTGCTCAGTGTCTTTAACCTGCTCAGTGAGAGACGAGGCAGCTGCCTGGCTACTCCTTCCACAACTTCTAAGCTCCAGGCCAGCCTGGGAAACCTAGCAAGACTCTGTCTGAAAACACAAGTTTAAAGGGTTGCGGACACAGCTCGGGTAGAATGCCTGCCTGACAGGTTCTGGGCCTTAGGTTCAACCCTCTGTACCACAAGAGCAAAGCATTCCTCTTAATTATCCCAGCAACTAAGGACAAAAGTGTCACCAGTTCCATTGAAGGCCAAAAGCAGACTCAGCTCTCCAGAGGAAAAATGCTTTGTCTTTTGTCTTTTCCAGCTTTACTATTTAACTCAACAAAACATTCATCAGTTATTGTCCTTAAACACCAGAGGGAATCGGGCGCCATCTCACTGAGCTGAGTTGCTTAGTCCGGGCTGTAACAAGTGACGCTCCTGCCTCAGCCTCGCAGGGCACTGAGACATGACAGATGCCCCAAAGACATCTTCTTTAAAGAACAAAGGAACCACTGTGCTGGGGGTCAGCTGCTCAGAGGCCAAGAGAGAAGCTAACTGCTGCTTCTCAGCAACTTCCCGCCAGCTGCAGCCCTGAGCCGCTGAGAACCTGTGAAGGGCACGGCTCTGTGCTCAGGGCTCCCTCCAGCCCTGGGACACATCCACAGCCTGGCCACTGAGCTACCCTCCTCGCTACACCTGCTGACTGCACTGCTTCCGCCAGCACAAAAGCACCTGGACCTGCTACCATGAGCTCTGGGGACAGCACCACATGCAGACAACCTGCATAGGACGTCCACTCGGGCCACTCCCTCTGCCCAGCACTGTGAGGCTACCAGAGCCCCATGCCTCAGTCCCCAGGATGCCGTCCCAAGTCCAGAACAGCAGCTGCCCTGGGCATCCCCATTCCACTGCTGGCCATGCCTGGAATCCAGGTGTGTGCACTGACCAGGTGCCAGGCGTGGTTCCAAACCAGCATTCCGGTAACTGCTTCAGGTGGTGCGCAATGATGCTTATGCTACTGACCACCTCTCCTTGCCGCCACACAGAGGGACAACCCATGCCTCTTCCACAGCTCTTTGACACCAAGGAAAGAGTGCAGGGACATGAGCATGGCTTTCATTGTCATGACATAAAAGACACACATGAAGTGCGTCGTATGTGCATGTCCTAGGAGGCACACACACTGTCGCACACTCCCTAAACCTTCTGCTTGAAAATGGACATTTAGAAAGACAGCAGTACCATGGGCACAGTGGTACATGCCTATTACCCCAGCAGCAAGGAGGCTGAGGCAGGAGCGCTGCTCACTTTGAGAGCAGCCAGGGCTGTCCTACATAGTGAGACTCTCTCAGAAAACAAAACATTTTTCAAAATTTTCACAAAAATATGAGGTGTGTGATATTCAGACAGATAGTGAGGTTAAGCTTAACAGCCTAGGTTGTATGGTAATAACAATAAGCTTCTCTTCTGGAGGGTTAACAACATAAGTTTGACTTACAAAATTAGAGAAAAAGGAGGGCTGCAAGGAAAGCCAACATTTTGGCTCGAGCCTTCCAAGGTCAATTAAGACTCAGGACATATGAGAACTTGTACTGTAACGTCATGTAACTTGGTAGCGTCCCACGTTTTCTGATCAAGGAAATTATGGCGCCAAAGAGGAAAGTGATCGATGATTTAGAATGTGCCTAAGGAGAGTCACATGGAGAGAAAACATTCTCTCAGGCTTTCACAGAGAGCACATTGGCCAAGCAATGGCTGTGACTCAACCATATGGCTGACACTGACAAAGGATTTACACTCTGAGGTACAGGATCTCAGGATAAATCCTGAGGGGATTTGACTGATCTTACCTGATCCAAAAGTTACAATATTTGTTACACAGGTCTTGCTTTACCTTGGTCTTAACCATCCAGCAGAAAGGTATAAAAATGAAGTATAAGAAGTAAAGCCATGGTGTTTTGTTGAGCTGTAGGGGACTCAGGTCAACAATTTCTGACATTGCCAGTGAAGCAAAAAACCCAATACTATTATGGACAGCTGGACTCTTAGAATATTTTCCTGAGTTAACATACCTACAATATTCAAATGATGGAACTAAACAAAGAAGGGGATACAGATGAATGTCCTTTTTGTATCTATGCATTCAAAATGGTTAGGATAGATATATAGTTACATTCTCTTAATGAATAGAGGAATTTGTTCTAATAGTGTTTGTAAATAGGATATCATGTCTGCATCTTGTACAGCAAATAACCTCTAGGAAGAGAGTATGCAATGTGTTAATTATTGAAACTGACCTACCAATTCGAAAAAAAAAAAAATGAGGTGTGATCCAGACTGTTTAGATTTTTTTAAAAAAATTATCATACAACACATTGCCACAAAGTCTCCTCGAAATATTCCCCCAGCTTTAAGCACAATTATCCGACCTGTCTGGCCACTTCCGGCAGCAGCTCTGGAGTCCTCTCCTCAGTCTTTAGTTACGCTGCCCTGGCTGTCTTGGTGTCCCGAGTTAGTCCAAAATGTTTCTCTCTCATGGTCATTTTGACTTTGGGAAGAGCCGGGAGTCACACAGTGAATAAAGTGATCCGGTGACTAAGGTGGATGAGGATGCAGGTCAGGTTTTCACAAGCCTGCCACTCTGCTGGGTGGTGCCTGGCAGCAGCGCTCATTGTAGCTGTAATCACAGCTCACTAAGGGCACTCAGGAGCGTGCCAGGGCTGTTGCAGGAAGTGGCCAGGACAACAGCAGGAGTGTGCTCAGAGGGAGGGGAATCGCAGCAGTGTCTTTTATTTGTATAAACTTTTTAAAATTTCATCTGTCATATATTAAAAATATAGGCCAGTCAGATACCAGCACTCGGAAGGCCGAGACAGGATGATCACCATGAATCCGAGGCCAGACTGAACTGCACAGTGAGACCCTGCCCCCCACCCCAGCAAAGGCCACAAGTACTACAGTTGAACCTTCCGTTCCATGTCTGAGTTGCTGTGCAAATAGGACAGTATGACTACTGATGTCAGGAAGGTTTCACTATACCACCTAGTGAGGAAGGAAGGAAAACGGAGAGAATACAAGTATTAGGAACCCATCATCAAAACCCTTCCAGGAAAGTGAGATTTTGTGTTTTGTTGTTGTTTTGTTTTTTTGAAACCGGGTCTCCCTATGCAGTTCAAGATGGCTTTGTGCTCACTTCATAGCCCAAGTTGTCTCAAACTCATAGGATCCTCCTGCCTCAGCCTCCCGAGTGTTGGGACTACAGGTGTGCGCCACCACGTCTGGCTGTACTGAAATTTTGTTTTTAAGCTAGGCAGGTTCAGTGGGCGCTGCACTTGTCTTCACCAAGGTAGAGCACCAAGCGCTGGCCCTGCCGTGTGGCAGCAGAAACACCTCACGATCACCCCAAATGTCTCTTAGGGCACAAGCTTGGCCCTGTTGGGCACAACACCAGAGATGCTTGTGTGTCATCTTGGCATCTTGAAATACGCCAGTAAAGGTATCAATTGTGATCCAAGAAACTAGAGAAAACAACTTGGTCAGATTTCAATCTGTGGATATTAGAAATGAACATGTACAGGTATCTAGCTCACCGATGGAAACGACTCCTTCAGACTGCTTGGTAGCTCGGATTTCTCCCACAGAAGACGCTGTGCGCCAGGTAACGCATTCAGCAGGAAGCCTTGCGCCCCTCACATGAGGCCTGATCTCACACACCTATCTGCAGTTTTAGTGCAAAGGTCAAGGCCTGGCTAAGGTTCTGCGGACAAGTTCACATCAAAAGGGCAAGTTCCAAACCAATAGTGACCCTTCTGCACTCTGCCTACCAGCAGAAATATGACCATGACAGAGCTGGCACAAAACAGCTGCATCCCTGGAGACCAGCGTTAGCAGGACAGCTGGGGAGCTGGCCAGCCCGGAACCTGAGTGCTCTGTGTGGAAGCGCCCTCCCTGCAGCAGGCACACTGACAGCGAAAGTTGGGCCCCTGTCAACCGGGGGCTGGAGGAGGAGGGGACCTGTGCCCCTTGCAGATGTAATGGCCCAGTGACACCCTTCATACTGTAGAGACAGGAGACACATCAGGCCAGCGCCCACATACCCATGGACCACTACTTTTGAAGCCAAAGTGCTTTTTGTTAAGCAAATAAGGAGGTTCACACACGCTTCTGTCTTCACAGCCACAGAAGCATTATTCAAATGCTAGGATGCCGGGAGCCAAGGACAAGGACTGGTGCAAGTCACCTTCTACAGATGTTCACCCAAGGTTAAGCACTTCACGTTTGGGTTTTTGTGGCAGATTTTGGTGAGACAAGGCCTCACTATGCAGCCCAGGCTGGCTCTGAACTCGCAGCGATCCCCCCACCCCAAGTGCTGAGGTTACAGGCCTGAGCCACTATGTTTTGTTGCTGTTGTTTTTAAAAAAGGCCTTGCTCTGTAGTTCAACCTGGACTTGAACTACGTAGCCCAGGCTGCCCATGAGCTCACAGAAACCCTCTTGCCCCAGCCTCTCAGGGCTGGACCCTCATGTGTGTGCCACCATGACTGACCAGGTTAAAGGTTAAGCACAGTAACTTGATGAACCACCACCGCAAAAGGCACCTCTCTCCTGCTGGCCAAACACAGTGACTCTGGGTGGAAGGTGTGCACCTGCAATCCTAGCCCTTGGGAGGCTGAGGTAAGGACAGTCACCATGAGTTCAAGGCCAGCCTGCACTCAGGGCAAGCCTGTAGTCCCAGCACCTGGGAGGCTGAGGCAGGAGAATCATTTCATCCCAACAGTGAGCATCCAATGAAAACAGAACTGCCTGAAAGCTCTCAACATAATATAAACCACAGCCTTTCGCTGCGTAATTTGAAAAGTTCAGTGCTAGGTACCCAAAAGCACAGCACCTATGCTCAGTGGAAGGTGAGAAGCCCCCGGGACTCGACTCCCCTGCTAGGCAGAGGTGCTTCCTTCCATGCCAGTGCTCACGGGCCGAGGGTGGCAGGCAGCACCTCACACAGGCAGGGCCAGAGCCCACCAAAGGATAAACAATGCAAGTGCAGCAGCTCAGAGGCACAGCAGCTCGCACTCCTCGCTCACAGAAACAGGCCAGAGAGAGAGACCTATGAAAATGCCAGTTAGTGAAGGACAAGCAGTACCAGAGCCTAAATCCAGGGCTTTGCAGGGCAAGTGCTCTACCGCTGCCCTACATTATTTTTAATACAAGGTCTGGCTAAGTCGCCCAAGCTGGGCTGGAATATGTGATCCTCCTGCCTCAGCCTATGAAGTAGCCGGAACTTATCATGAGCAGCCAAGCAATACTATTTCACCAAAATGCTGCCACTAGCGGGCATAACACCCACTAACCAAAACAGTCAAATCTTTCTCAAATGCCCTCTAAAACCACTTGGAAAGAAAATAAAGTACTATCAAGAAGTACAGCACTTGAACTAGAGCCCTATGTATGCATTCTGTCCCATTCACCTGAGACAAACAGCTTCTGTCAGCAAAGGCCAAGAAAGGGTAATTACACGTCCAATACTTCCTAGTGAGACAAGTTTCAGCTGGCTTCTGACCACAAGCCACTTGGATTATCTATGGAAGGATTTCATTATGTAAACACCACTCTGGGTCTGGGAAAACAGGTCAAGTCTGTCTGGGGTTCCTTGGGCTTAACTGCTTTCTCCTGCCAAAAGTGCTTCAGGTTGACTGAATTATAAACTAGTACACCTGATAGTGAGCCTCAGGCGAACCCCAGGTGGCTTCAAATTCTAAGGCCTACAGCTGTACTTGCTTTTTGGTGAAAGTTTAGCAAATCAACCGAGTAATGAAACTTGCAAATAGTATTTTAATTGCCAGGTGTGGTGGCGCGCACCTGCAACCCCAGCACTTGGGAGGCTGAGGCAGCAGGATCTCTGAGAGTTCAAGACCAGCCTGGACTACAAAGTGAGCTCAAGGCCAGCCTGAGCTGCATGCAAGACCCTGTCTCAAAAAGACAAAAACAAAACTAAGCAAACAAAACTAAACAACAACAACAACAACAACAAAAAAGCAAAACAGTACTTTAAGGCTAATAATAAAAAAATCTAAATACAGTGGCGCTTCGAAGTCCCCCTGCTGATGTGGCCAAGCTAGATTCCAGGACCCCTCTGTATAATTCAGAACAAGCAGGCCTGCAAAGCAAAGAGCCACCAAAGGTGCCTTCAGCTACAGACTGACCACGGCCCGGGCCTGGGGCTGCAACAGCAAAGTGGGCGGTTTTTGCTTCTTCTTTTCGTTATCGGGACTCGAGCTCAGGACCTCACACTTGCCAGGCAGGCGCCGCGCTGCTGAATTACATCCTGCCCACCTAAGCCGGGCGTTTTACCGTCTCGGCCCCTTCCTAGGGGCAGGGTGGCTAATCACGTCCTCAGAAAAATAACCGCGACTCTTCCATACAAAGATGGAAACCCTCCCTCCACCGCAAGAATGAGACGCTACAATACGCCGCGTATGGGAGGTGATAAAGTAACAAACAGCCAGAGCATAGCCAGAAGGAGAAAAGGCCACACCGAGACGCGGGGCTCGACACCACTGCCCACTCCTTCAGTTCACGCCTTTTCTCTCCCTACGCAGTCCAGCCTAAAAGGAGCCCGCCGAGGAACGTCAGGCCCAAGCGCTGGGGCCGGCTCGCGGGCCCCGCGGGCCCCAAGGCACCGCACTAACGCCCTCCGCGAGGCCCGAGCACGCGCCCTGGCCCGGCGCTTCTAGCCCGGAGGAGAGCCGCCCTGCCCCGGGTCCCGCGGCCCGCGGAGGCCCCGGACGCGCCGCTCGGCCCTGCTAGACCGGGAACCGGCGCGACGCCCCGCCGGGAAGCGCGGGGCCAGTCCGCCCGCAGGGCCGCCGCCCGCCCCGCCGCCGGGTACCCGAGTCCAGCGGCGGCCCGTACAGCGCCAGCGCGGCCGCGAGCAGCGCCAAGACGGCCGCTGCGGCCCCGACTTCCAGGCGAGCGGCCATCCCTGGGGAGGCGGGTCCGTCTTACTTGGCCCGCAGGTCCGGACTGCCACACGGCGCAGACCCACGGCCATCTGGCGGCCTTCCGGGTTCCCGGCAGCCCCCGCGCCGCCGCCCTCAGGACCTACTCGCCCTCGGTCTGCAGCCTCCGGCCCGGGTATCCCAGCCTCCCCCGCGCGCGCTAGCCCAGGTTCCCGGCGGCCCTCGCGCGGGGGGCAGAAGCTGGCTCCCGATTCGCACCAGCTGGGAGCTCGGCCCACCCCCGGGCGGGCTTTCGCCAATCACACCTGGAGCCAAGCGATTGATAAGCACGCCGTCCAATCCGGCCTACTCCTATCCTTCCGTTTTTAACCGTGGTCTTTATAGAAAATACCGGAGGTGGAGGAGTCTTCTGCGCCAGAACGTCTGAGTTGGCCTTGGACCTCAGAAAGTAGGTGGAGGGATAGATCTTTTGCAGATGAAAAGAGTCGCAGGAGTTGGAAGGAAGGGGGCCAGAGGGGAAGGGAAAGTAAAAAGAATGTGTTACGTTCATGTTCAGCTCCCACGGGGTGCGATCATACGTACTGCAAAATAAAACCAAAACCAAAGTAAATAAACATTAGTTTTTTCAAAAAGCAGGTGGAGTGCCCTGAGGCCAGCTACACTGCCCAAGTAGATCGTGGGCCTTTTTCTAAAAGCCGGCCCTGCATGTCCGAGCTCTCCCCTGAAATCCAGCTGGGTCTCCGGAGCGCGGCTCCCCACCTCCTTCCCAGCCTCAGTGACCGCTCCCTCACTGCGCCTGCCGCCAGCTCCCCGATTTCTCTCTTTTCCCTCGAGCCCTATCCCCCACCCTTTGCTGCCTTTCACCTGCGTAGTTATCCTGCCTGACACCGCCATCAGGTTAGCCCACCCCATGGCAATGGCCTTGTGTTTGTTTCCTAGGACTGTGGTGGCAAAGTGCCAAAAGCCAGCCTTAGCAGAAATACAGTATCTGGCCAAGACGCAAGCGGGCTGTTGTCACTGCTGCCGCAGCCACCACCACCATGGCTCAGTACAAGGGCGCTGCGAGCGAGGCTGGCCGCGCCATGCACCTGATGAAAAAACGGGAGAAGCAGCGCGAGCAGATAGAGCAAATGAAGCAGCGGATCTCAGAGGAGAACATCGTGAAATCCAACATCGACAAGAAATTCTCCGTACACTACGACGCCGTGGAGGCGGAGCTCAAGTCCAGCACTGTGGGCCTCGTGACGCTGAATGACATGAAGGCCAAGCAGGAGGCGCTGGTGAAGGAGCGGGAGAAGCAGCTGGCGAAGAAGGAGCAGTCCAAGGAGCTGCAGCTGCAGCTGGAGAGGCTGCGGGAGAAGGAGCGCAAGACGGAGGCTAAGCGGAAGATCTCCAGCCTGTCCTTCAGGCCCGAGGAGGAAGAGGAGGGCGGCGAGGAGGACGGGGCGGCTGCGCGGGATGAGGACGAGCTGGCAAGCGAAGAGGTCGCGAGGAAGAAAAGGAAGTTAGGGAAGAACCCCGACGTGGACACGAGCTTCTTGCCCGATCGAGACCGGGAAGAGGAGGAGAACCGGCTGCGGGAGGAGCTGCGGCTGGAGTGGGAAGCCAAGCAGGAGAAGATCAAGAGCGAGGAGATCGAGATCACCTTCAGCTACTGGGATGGCTCAGGGCACCGGCGCACGGTCCGGATGAGAAAGGGCAACACCGTGCGGCAGTTCCTGCAGAAGGCCCTGGAGATCCTGCGCAAGGACTTCAGCGAGTTCAAGGCGGCGGGGGTGGAGCAGCTCATGTACATCAAGGAGGACCTGATCATCCCCCACCACCACAGCTTCTACGACTTCATCGTCACCAAGGCGCGGGGCAAGAGCGGGCCACTCTTCAACTTCGACGTTCACGATGACGTGCGGCTGCTGAGCGACGCCACCATGGAGAAGGACGAGTCCCACGCCGGCAAGGTGGTGCTGCGCAGCTGGTATGAGAAGAGCAAGCACATCTTCCCGGCCAGCCGCTGGGAGCCCTATGACCCGGAGAAGAAGTGGGACAAGTACACAATCCGCTGAGCCCGGGAGGTGGAATCGCCTCCGCGGCTGCACCCTGGGCCCCAGTGCCGTCCTTACCGCGTCCTTCAACTGTACAGAGCCACATGTGTCAGTGCCGCAGGCTGACTGCAGTCAGTTTATTTAGATTTAAAACAAAAAATAAAAAGACGTATATTATCTCACAGTGCTGGAGGCCTTAAGTCCAAAGTCAAGGTGAAGGTGGGGTGTGCTCTGTGTGAAGGCTTGGGAGAAGGTCGGTGTGCTCTTCCAGCTTCGGCTGGTGGTCAGGTCTTGGTATTCCTTCTCCGTGCCAGTCTCTGCCTCTGTCGTCATGTGCCAGTATTCCCCAGGCTTAGTGTCACAGTTCCCTTTCTTTCTTTCTTTTTTTTTTTTTTTGTCATTTTGAGACAAGGTCTTGCCATGTCGTTCAGGCTGGCCTTGCGCTCACTTTGTAGCTTTAGCTTGATCTCAAACTTGCAAGGATCCTCCTGCCCAAGCCTCGGAGCCTCCCAAGTTCGGGGGTGACAGGTGTGCACCGCCAAGCCCAGCCTCCCCTTTCTGATAAGGATTCCAGTCACACCGCATTAGGGAGCATCTTCAGTTGATCATCCGCAAAGATCCCTGCTCCCAAATAAGGTTGTATTTACAAGGCTAGGGGTTGGGATTTCAACCTATTTGGCGAGCTTAAATCAATCCATAACACCAGGAAAGGTTGTGTCTATTTTTCAATAGCAGCAGAAAATCTCTTCATCTTTTCAGGCCCCTGTAGTGCTTGCGATGGGGCCTGGTCTCGCCTGCTAGGCGCTACCACTGAGCTGCATCCCCAGTCACGAATATCTCACAACTAAAGGCTGTGGCAGGCTGCTGCACAGGATTGTCTCCCCACGTCACTCAGAATAAGATCTAGTGTGTTCCGTCGCCTTCCGCGGCTGGCCGTCGTCCCCTGCCCCCACGCGGTCCGCCCTGCTGGCCGTC